TTTCCTTCTGCATGCTCTTCCTTTTCTGTATTTGCCAAAATCTCAACTGAGGGATAGTTTGGAAGAACAAGGCCAGGTTTGCAGAAAGAGGAAAGAAGGATATCCTATGAACATAAAAAAGAATGTCTGTATGCTGTGATCATTAACTATGGAATTATCTTAGAACAATCTATAACTGTCTCTGTCAATTCTTAATGTAATAGCTTTCATAATTAAACATTCCTCATTTTCTACGGTTAATCACCTGTCCTTCTTCAAAGGTCCTTAAAGAATGGTGACTGTTTACCCCAAGTACCGTATTTTTCAGACTATAAGATGTACTTTTGTATCACATTTTTTACTTCAAAAATTTCCCCCCTATTTTCCTCCTCTAAAACCTAGGTGTGTCTGGGTTCCGCACCATAAGACACACCTAGGTTTTAGAGGAGGAAAATAGGGGAAAATTTTTTGAAGCAAAAAGTGTGGTTAAAAAAAATGATAATAGTGCGTCTTATAGTCTGAAAAAAATATGGTAGGTAAGGTTTTTGTTCCAAAGCAGTACCTACTTGAAAATAATAGTGATGTCATATTCTGTAATAGCAGTCATTCAAGTGGGCAGATTCGATGATGAAACCTATCCCTGACTGTCTTGGAAATGGGGCACCAGGTTATCAAAGATACTGTCTATCTCACAACGAGGCACATTTGTTGTTTTTGTCATGAGTTTTCAGTTTTCCTGCCAGTATTTGAGTTCATGAGTTGCAGTTTTCAAAGTGAGAAAGGAAAAAGAGGAAAACACGTGTCCCTTTCCTCACTGTTTCTGTTGAAGGAAAGATGCTAAAAAATCATGGCCATCCGAAAGATAGGGGAAGAGGTCCCAGGGACAAACTGAACACAGGAGTGAGAAGGTGAATTCTTAGGTGTGTCAGAAGTAATGTAAATTGTATACAACATAAAAGACAGTACTTTCTCCAGCCTCTAGGCCTACAACCTTGACACTGATCCTTAGCAGATTTCTAGAGATCGGTGGGTTTCATACACTCAATATAAAGTAGGGCTCACTAAAAACCAGCATGAATTCGTCAAGGATGACTTATGCTTCATTCTCTAACTCATAAGACCAGGAAAGTAGTAGTATAATGTAACTGAATTTTGGCAAACAACAAACCAGATATTTTATAATATTTTATACATAAATAGAGCAATTTTATATAATGATATAGTTGTTTGGATTTATAACTGGTTGAGTGGACATTTTCAGAGGATCCAAATTCATAGATTGGTATTTATGAAATATTGTGTGTATACTTAGCCTGGTCTTATTAGTTAGTTGCTAGTCTTTAAAGATAAAGATATCAAGGTCATGGTTATCACAATTTCTGATTTGAAAGAGAAATAAAATGGAGAGGAAGTTAATACAGTAGAAGCTAGATGGCAAAATTGGATCTAAAAGATGTTTCAGGTAGGATAGGTGAAACTCTCATTAGAGATGAACACCAAGCTCAAAGTGTGTGACATACTCCATCGGAATCCCAGGCACCATAACTACAGTACGGAAGGACCATGACTTGAGAACACCCTCTGTATACAAGGCAAGCTCATGGGAAAGAGCACTGTGGTGTGGCTGCCGTAGACATGCCATGCAGGCTTCTGCCCTTGCCATGGAATCAGGATGTCCCGGATGAGGCAAGACTCTGCCACTCCACTTTGCCAATCACATCTCATTCACGTGTGATTTCCTTCTGATTGCCTCAGGTTTAGAAGGTTGTGCACATATGGGGACCTGGTCAGGGAGCAAGGAGGGGAACAAGGGAAGTTGAAATCGTGTCTTATGAGTAAGAACTTAGGTGAAGGAAAACTCAGGCGACAGAGATAGTTTTTACGGGAAAGTGTGTAACACCCGGAGGAGTTTATGGTCACAAGCGAAGAAGATGTGGTGTGGAAAACAAGATCTCACTAAATGGTAGGAATGCATCAGTCCACAAGTCAGGAAACCAGGGGCTGGGTGCAGGCCGTTCCGTAGGGGAGTGTTTGCCACTGAGAGCTGCTGCTTGGCCTTGCCCCGAGCATCTGGGTATGAGGACACCCCTCAGGGGTGTGTCTGTAAGTTTAATTCAGCCCTTGGATCACACCATCCTGGATTCACACCTCAGCTCCACCTCTTAGTGGACTTTGGCAAGTTACTTAACCTAAGTCCCTCTTTCCTCATCCATGAGTTGGGAATGAGAAAACAGGTGAAAGGAGAGCATGCATGTTCAGTGCCGCAGCAGTGTCAGGCACGTGGTAATAAGTCAATAAACCATCATTGATGAGCTGCTATCATCATCATCATCATTATCATCTCATCATCACCATCATCATTGTCATGACACTTTATTTTAATTGCTTATTGAATGTGCTTGCTTTTCTCAATTGACCAGGGACCCTCTTGCCTGTTTTCCTTTAACCCACCCCCCCTCCAAACTTAGTTCTAGACATGTAATAGGAGTTTAGTAACTTGACTGTCGAATGGTGGAGATGAAGTTTGGTGGCCCAGATAACAGCAGTGACTGCTGGGATTCTGTGGTGCCTTCTCCTTAAGATACGTGATTTCCATCTTTGATGCAAAAAAAGCATCAAAGCAATGAGATGAGGCCTAGCTCCTTCAGGAGTGAGTTTACCAGCTCCTACACCAAGCAGGTAAGGTCATGCAAAGCCCTTCGCATTGCAGTGCTGGGAGGGATCTCCTCAGTCTCCTAACCCACCCCTTCCCTCTTACAAAGCATGGGCTGATGCACACCAGCTGCTCAGCTGGGTTAGCCGTGCGTGTGATTGGAGGCCACAGACCTGAGAAGAAGAATTTAGAGGATCATTGAGTTGGAGCAATACAGCTGTTCTTAAATTTCCTTTTTTCATCTATCACCATCTTATTTATGGATTTTACTTTGTATACTTTAAGGATAACACTTGGCTAAGTACTTATAAATAATAAATGAAAGAATAATAATAATTAGCCAGGCATGATGTCACTTCTAAAGAAGGAAAAACTGATACTCACTACAAATTTAAGGAACATCCACCTTGTGTTAACCAGTTCATCAAGGTGCACATAGTCCTGCTCACCTGCTTTCCAAATTTCAACACAAAACATACTGCAAATGAATAATCTATGACTGCATTGGCAAAGAAAATACTCTAATATAAGTGAGATGTGGAAAAATGTTTAAACTATTTACTCTAATTCTAGGGTTTTCCATTTTACAGAGGCTAAAACTTTGCTATAGAAGAGCTTTATTTATACTTGCCCTGCAGTGTAAGACGTATCAGATTCCTGTATGTTTTTCTAGGGGTTCATGTTCATTTGCATTCATTGCATTTACCCAAATACACCATAGGAGGGCAGCACATACCTGGCTGTATCAGAATCCTATCTAAATTAGTCCAAATGTTCTTAAATGATCAGGTAGAAAAAAGCCATTGGAAAAATCAAAGGAGCATAAAGGAATTCATCCTTTAAGACTCTGAGTTTCTACAAAAGGGAATCATTGAGCTAATCAAGCTGCAAAATGGGAAAACATAGAGTTTCAAAAAAAAAAATTCCCCACAGCCCAGTCAACAGAAATAGTTGTTACATTTGAAGGAGTTTCACTGAGTGTGTAATCTGAATATGAAGTACTAAATGAGAATTAGATCTTGTTCCTATTAATAGGCAATAATTAACAAGTTACTCTCCAACAAAGATGACCTTATAAAGAAAGAGTCCCTTCAAAAATGATGTTCTCTTGAATGAGCTCCAACCAAGCCTGCCTCACATTCTGTTCCACTTTGCATCACAGGTGGCTTTAATGCGTTTTCAGTATCTTACATAAAAGCATCAACAATTTTCATGAAAATTGGCATTCTGGAGTTACATGGTCAGGTTTTGTTAAAATAGGAAATAAGTGATATTTAGACACAAGGTTTGGAATATAGATTTTTATACAGCCTCATTAATTCAAGGCTGTAAATCCAGAGTTTGTGATCATGTGGCTTAAATATTATCTATATAACATAGGGGAAGAGGTATGCTAGGCAAATACATAGTCTAAGCAGTTAGCAAGAGGAGGTTTTGCAATTACTTAAGAATAATTGAACTTCTAAGTCTAACTCAAATTTTAACTTTTTTGCCAAATCTTTTTACAGAAATATAATCTACATATTTATAACCAGCTTCCTGGTGATTTTAGTATGGTCAGCTTGGGACCAATAAATAGCCCATTCCTTGATAATTTTGGAACACCCAGCATGTGGTCCTTCTTGGAGGAGATGATTAACATAACTGATCAGCTGAAGCATGGACTTTCACTAGTGAGCCCTTTGTTAACCTAGTGCAAGTTAATATACACGTATTACATGACTTTAAAATGGCAAAAATAAGACAAAACTGGATATCCCATTCAGGTTAGCTTTCTCCATCAGTCCAAATTACAATCTACTATATAATAAACATTCCAAGTTTTCTGCTAACAGTTCTCTCTTGTGGTAGATAAAAATCTCTTTTCAGAAAACTGTAAAGATGCTTTTCTCCTCTGATATCCTTCCATCAATCATGGAAAAGTTTGTATAGCATGCTTTTCTCAGTGTACCTGTGGGACTGATAATATGCCCACGTGTCCTGACAATAAAGTCAGTGGATACACTGCATTTGGAAATAGCAGAGCTAAGTGCTAAGCAAGGAACTACCATCATGGTCAAGTTCAGAACTTGACAATGTTTTCATTATAGTAATAGACCCTTTATTTTTAGATGTATACAAATGGCCACATATGTCCTAATGTACTTGAGAAATCTCACTACTAATTTTGTCACTAATTTTTTAATATGTTATTTGAGAAAAACGTCTTTTCTCTTGGCATGATTTGTTGGGATGGGGCGGGGAGCTTAATCAAGATGTTTCTGTGTGAATACATTCCTCACTAAATCTCTCAGGCAACTGCTTTAGTTACTAACACGATGCTCTGTCGTCTCTTTGTATACATGTCTAATTTATCAGTTTCTTGTAGATTGTCAGCAGCCTGCTGCCTCCGTACCGCCACAGTGCTCACAACTAGCCGGGAGGCAAGACTGCCCGACTGTCAGGTAAATTCAGACGTCCTTTCTGTCCCCACCCGGCTGCATGCCAGAGCCCTAGACCCCAAGCCCACCTTCTCCACACCCTAACGGCCTATGCATAATCACATTTGCCACACTTTCTTTCAAACATGGGCGACGCAAACACACATTGGATACTTGAGGTTGGATGTACCCAGTGGAAATCCAAGAGCGGAGTTTAATTTCCTGGCCACTAGGGGGACTCACGGCTGCCTTCAGGTCCCTGGTGTGAGTAAATATGTGCATTACTCCAGGGCTCCATTACATTCCAGAAAAGAAAACCTGGGATTGTGAGGATGTTCGGCTTGCTGCTTCTTTCCTTTGTCTTTGGTCCTTAGAATATATTTCTCAGGCAAACAGGAAGGATATAAAGCCTATCTAATATCTGTTCTAAGACAACTTCATGAAAGTGTTTCCGTTTTCTGTCCATTCAGGGCCCTCATTAAAAAATGGAAATTGAAAGGTGGAGAAAAACTTGTATTTGGCATTTCAAAAAGAATATTTGCAGTGACAGAGCCCTTCATGTGGGATTAACTGAACACATTTAAAGGCAGGTTCACATACTTCCTGGGCTCTCAACTAGAGAGTTTGTTGATAGTTTCTACTCCAGCGAAGCTTTGCCTCTCCGTCATCAGCTGTCTTCCTGGGTGACTCCCACACAGCTGCCCATCTGGGCCTCGTCCTCCTCCCATAATGTTTCATCCCCAGTTATTTGGCCCTCTCATGGTGCCAGGTTTATATAAACTGGTGCAGCTGTTATATCTGCTTATTGTTCCCTCTTCTACCATGCAAGGCTTCTTTGGAACAGGGGTGGGCCTCAGCGCATTCCACGTGTGTCTGAGGAGTAGTGTCAGCCGCAGGCTGCCGTGGCTGTGGCTCAGCTGGAGTGCTGGGGGGTCACCATGTTGCCCAGAAACAGCGGCACCCAAAGCCCCAGTGACCTGGTCTCAGAGGCAGTAGTGCAGCCTGCTGTCTAAGTGAGATGTCACATTACCAGGGAGAGGGACATGATTCAACAGGAACTACACCCGTGTCTCTTGACGGATCCCTCAGCCTGCCACCCCCACCGCTTCCAGCAGCTGGGTTTTTACTTCAGGAAAGTTCTTCCCAAACATGCAAAGGCCATTAGTCTATAGTAGCCAGCTTAGACTAATTTCAGTCATGTAAGGAAATGTAATTATAAATGTTCAAACCCGTCTCAGTGGATTATTTGTGTAGAGTGGTGAAGAACGTGGGCTTTTAACCTGTGGTCCATTCTTGGCCAAGCACCCCCGACCCAGGGCTCAGGACAGTGCACCAGTTACCATTGCTTTCAGGGATGGATGAAGGAGCTTTGAGCTCAGATTGCTTGGGGTGGAATTCCATCTCAAACACATACAGTTATGTATTTTTGGAAAGTTACTTCTGCTGGCTGAGTTCTATCTCTTATAAAGTAAGGGTGAGAATGAGGTATAGGCCTGGCCCATAACATGCTCTTGATATTTGTTACTGCTGCTGACTGTGATTAGTACCTAACCTTCCTCAAGACGAAGATCTGCCGTCTCCTTCATAACCTCTCGAATTTGCTTGGGCAAAAAGTAGAGAGGGCTAGTGTGGAATGTTTTCATCTTTAATTTTATTTCACCTTGCTTTTTTTTTAGAGCCAGTTTGACTAAATGGTTACCTATCCCAGTTCCATATTTTTTTGAAATTGCTGAACTTAGATTGCTTGCTACTTCCACACAAATGTTTTACTTTTTTTTTTTAAAGCAGCTTAATGAATTACAAATGTTTCCAGTTTCTGCCCACATGAATACAGCAGGAACCAGAGCAGGCTTCCGTTGCCCCTCCTGGTGGTCCACACAGAGAAGTGATAAAATGCATATGGACCTTGAAAGACTGCCCTTTCCAAAGTCGCTGGAGAGGCGACTGACTTCCCTCCCACCCATGCCCATGGCCAAATGGATTGAATTGCATGTCCTCACTGCCCTTCTCACTTTTATCGGGCAGAAAACATAACATATAGCCAACCTTTGAATTACTACCATACACAGGTGTTAAATTTTTTACACCAAGTATTCCCTACAACCCCCGCAAGGCAAGCACCCAGTCGAATATGAGGAGAGGGAGGCGTGGGGAGGTAAAACGAGGTGCCCAGGGTCGCCCATCCGAGAGTAGCTGAGCCTGTGTCTTGACCACGACCATGCACCTCGCTCCCTCGGTTCTGCTGGGAGGGCCCACGTTAGAGAGCACTGAAATACCCGCATGGATTCTCTGTCCCCAAATTGAAAAGGAATGTTTGTTTAATGGGAAGCAAAACGTGCGAAGAATGTTCAGTAATTTCAGATCAGTGTTTTCCTACTTCTCTTTCTTGCTTGAAAATATGCTTTATACTTCCTACAGCTTATACATATTATTTCGATAACTAGGTGTATGGTTTTGAAGAAAAGAGCATTTTCTCATATTCAGAAATATAGAACTTTCTAGATATTCTTTTTTTACAGACTAATTCTGTTGTAGAGCTAAATTATTAAAATTGTTTATGGATAAAAGAAACCATAATATGAAAGCAATGCCCCAGGTGTTACAGCCTTGGGTGTAGTTTTTAAACAAACAAATATATTTGGTATTTAGCACTTTTCTCCAAGAACTTGCTTCCTTGGAGGAAAAAAACTTTTCTGAAGATATGTTTACTTCTATATCTCAGTAATAGTTCCTAGGACTACCATTTGCAACATGGTTTCACCTACATGAAATGAAGTCTTACATGGTAAAGGTAGGATAATGCGTGAGCTCCTGAAGTTATTTAGCAATCGGAACTGAAAGTGAATTCTCCCTATAGTTGAAATGATTGAAACATATCAAATATTTACATTTAAAAAGTAATTTAATTTGCAAGCCAAAAACATGCTTCTGCCACATACATACAATGCGACTGACTGCATTCATGCAAACTTAGAATAGTAATACTGTAAAACCAAGTATTTATCATCTCACCCTGAGTGATCTGAAACAGTGGGAACATTAATAGTATACTTCTCTATTATGGTTGACATCACTGTATTAGTGTCGGATGTGCAGCACAGGGGTGTGAAGCAATTCCGCCTGCCTCTCGATTAAGTCCGGTACCACCTGGCACCACACATAGTTATCACAATAGTATTTACTACATTTCCTGTGCTGTACTTTACATCCTCGGGACTGTTTTGTAACTGCCAATTTGTGCTTCATAATCCCTTCATCCCTTCAATCCATTTCAAAAAATTTTGAAAACAAAATTTTTAATTATCATGGGTGACATCATGCCAAGGTTGGGCCTACTGAGCTGTAACCCGTCTTTAAGCTGTTACCATGCACTTCAGCTGGTTAGGCAGTAATGTTTCTCTTCCATTATCCTGAAAAATATTGAGCTCCACCGGGTCCTCAAAACTGTATCCCTCTTGTGCTACTTGCCATTGCAGTGAATCACATGCTTGCTCCCCTGAAAGGAAACTTACTCTGCATTATGCAGATTTAATGGAAGGAGACTGTGAGGGTCTGTGGGGGACAGACAGGAGACTGTCCGTCCGCTGCTGTGTGTCCAGAGCTGTTTGAGTCTGACGAGTGGGGAGAAAGAGCCTTGCCGTGAATGCTTTCTGGCCCCTTGACACTCTGGGTCTTCCATGTTCACCTCCCATGCTTTTAAAACAGACAAGAAAAATCATTTTTATCGCTGATTGTCCTAACTATACAGAAAAATTATTTTATCATTGGTTGTCCTAACCACACAGAAGAGCATATCTCCTTTTAAGCTAAATTCATAGCAGTGCAAAGACTTTGGAAAGAATGAGTGACCTCAAGCAGATCAGTATTTGACATAATTTTGATGTCATATCAAAATTCTGGTATTCTGGGATGTGCGTGAAGGATAATTTCCAAAGATTAATCAGTACCAAAGATTACATTTGTTTAATGATAATTCTGAATGACTTCAATGATAATATGAGCTTAAAATCTATATATAAAACTAATAAATAATAAAAATAAACCTTGAATAGTTTTCTCAAATGTTACTCCTGTCAGAAATGAATTCTGTGGTACTGAATTTCATACTATAAGGAGAAAAAGCAAAGTTATAGAAAAATGCCACTCTCTTTCAGTAATACAAATATCCCCATAGTGGGATTATTCCCCTGTTAGATTTCAAAAGGCCTGAACCCAATGTGATTTGTAGTTTTACCTTAGGAAATTCAGTAATTTTGCTTCCTTGTTCTTCACGATTATTTCTCATGGCACTGATGTGCCTGAGCATTCTGAGTTTGTTTAAACCAGAGGCTCTCAGAGGTCTTTTGGAACTCTGTATTATATACTTAACAAATAGGAAATGTTTTAAAACTCTTCAGTTTTATTTAAACTGCCAACCTAAAGCAGATAGATGGGACCCTAGGAGCAAATTAGGATTCCAATGGCAAATCGAGTATCCTGCTGAATCTGATCTACCAGAGAACTGGGTTAGAACCCTCTGTAGCCTTGGTCCCACACCACCTGCATCCCCAGGACCTTGCTAGAAGTGCAGATTCTGAGGTGTAGCCTGGACCTATGGAACCAGAATCTGCATTTTACCAAGGTCCCCAGGGGATTTGTATACACATTAAGGTTTGAGAAGAACTGATCTAAAGAAACCTTGCAACTAATCCAGAGACCTAGGGGAATGAGATTGTAGAGAAATTGCAGGGGTGGGGGAAGCATTCTCAAGGAGGAGTTCACGTATTTCCCAAACACGTTTTATTTTCCCTTTCTTGTGCGTGGTTTTGAAAAGCCGCAGTTGTCTTGGCATGCTTTAAATATAAATCATTTTCCATGCAAAATTTCTGTTCATGGTTCTGTTTTGGTTGTTTTGTTTTTTTTTTTTTAAGTTTCAGTGAAAATAATATGCCTGTCTAACCTTACAAGTGGCTTGGCCCCTTATTAGTGAGTTTCTTGCTGACACGCTTGTTTCTCATTTTCAGTCCTGACCCAGCTCTCCCTGACGAGCAGCCACATTCCAGCTCCCAGTGCGCCCCTCTCCACTGTCTCTCCAAGCCTCCTCACCCCTAGTCTCCATCTCTCATGCACGAACCTCTGGGGTGAACGTTTTGTAGCCACACACGGGATACTGCCCAAGATCCAACTGGTGTTTTCTTCTCGGTTGTTAGAGGTGTGATGGCAGCAATGCCCATCACTTTGGAAGATGAAAGAAAGTTAAGAAGAATAACACAAAGCACAGACTCCGGCGTGATAAAACGTTTTGTGGTTTCTCTAACTCACAGATAAACTTCTGCAATGAAATGGCTACAGTTCAGTTGAATAATAAACAAAACGAAACTGGACACATGTATCTCAGATGACTGGCTTTATCTCAATAACACAGAGACCTGAGACCGTGTAAAATACATGTATTGTACAACCATCTTTCCTCACCTGTCACATTCGGCGATAGAAGTTGATTCCAGTATTTTCCATCATTGATATTTATTTTGTACTTTATTTGCCACATGAGTTATGTTTATAAAAATAATTTCTGAGAGAGGTTAAACTTAATTCATTTATTTTTAAATAAACATAATTTGCTCTGTTCAGTTTTATTATAGTTTGAAATCTGGAATTGGCCAGACTGTGGTCATTTTTCTTGCACAAAATAATAAATGAGGTGCATCGGAATGTTAACAATAACTGTATTTTGCTGCTACACTGATATTGTTTATGCACTTACCTTTCTAATCAGTAGCTAATTAAGTGCTGGATTTTTTTTTAACTAGAATTCTTCACTGGACATTATTGAGTAAATCTAAGAAAGAGACTATGTTATGATTCATTGACTTATTCAACTTTGATGGCATCTTTAATTTTTTTAAAAAAATTGCAGGCAGGTAGATGTACTGGTGCTGCTCCTGTGTGTGTGTGTGTGTGTGTGTGTGTGTGTGTGTGTGTGTGTGATGATGTTAAAGGAGGCTAAATAACATGAAGGGAAAACATGGTGTGTTTATTTAATGACCAGAATTTTTTTTTTACTCCTCCCAAATTCAGGGTCCTATTATAAGTCTTTCCTGCTAAAAAGTATCAAGTACAAATGGGAAAATATATCCATAGATAGATGTAAGTTAGCCTTTGGTTAATGAATTTACCTAGAAAGTGTTCAACTTTTGATTAAAATTGTGTGTTTTGTTGTTGTTAGTTTTTTTCATAATGAATCTTCCTTGCCAAAAAAACAATAGGTAATAAACCTTAGCTCATTGTCTACTTTTGACAAACACTCAGGTGCCTACTATCATATTATACATCTTGAAATAACATGTGTTCCTAGCTCATCCACAAATCCTGCTGGATAACTCTCATGACTTGGTTTAAGGCAGTCTGTTTTCATAGCAAAATTTACTTTGCACATAATCTGACAAACAAGGAAAACAGCTAATTGAGCTGAAAGGTCTAACACTCCTGGGCTCCTTAACGACCAAGAACTGCCCACACAATTGCTCCTAGCCCTGATTCCTTGTCTAGTCAGGTAGCCTTAACTTATTTAAAATCATAACGGTTTGACCTTTTCATGTAACAATATCTGTAACTTCTCTTTAAAACAAAAACGATCCTCACTGTTAACACAAAAGATAGTTTACTATACAGGGCTCTCACCAGGTTTGAGCCATCCAGTACGGGCCACTCAGCTCACAGAGTGGCAGTGGGTGGGACGTAAGGGAATGGTGCATCACAGAGGGCGGCCAGGGGCTCAGTCATAACGTGCAGGAGCTTTATCAGTCACATACCTGTTAAGTACTGGTCACTATTACCAAAGCAACCAAGAGGTTTTTAGTTTCTTATATGAGTGCTATTTTCAACAGTGTCATTTATTATGCAACTTGAAGTAGTTAGAAATCTTTACCATAAGAAACAAATCTTCATAAAGTCTTGGTCATGACAGCCTAACCTCCCATTCTTTCCCACCTGCATGTCCTCGCTGTTCCTAAACACTTGCTTCATTTCATTGGTGTTGTATCTGCCCTGTACCAGTGTTAGCAAGGCAGTGTGGATTATAGTAGAGTTCAATGAAAGGATGCTGCCCCATACCCCTGCTCTTTCTTTTTTCTTTTTGTTATTTCTTTTCTAAGCATTGTGTTTGGGCCTGAGAAGTGGTATAGCTGCAAAGTTGGCTTTTAATAAAAACTTTGTGCCTGAGGGAAAAAACACCGTTTTTAAAGTACCTCAGAACATCTTCCTATGTTGCCTCATCAGTTTTGTTGGTGGTGCAGGGATTTAGCAATAAGGATCGCCTCTGAGTAACTATAGAGCAGTAGCTCTACTGGACAGCGCAGCATTGCATTTTTGCTCCTTCCCTCTAGTTATGACCCCGTGAAGGGTTGAGTCACAGGCAACACATTTGTTTCTTCCAATGTAAAGTTTATCAAGTCTCCTGTATACTAATTTTACTTCGGTTCCTTTATATTAACAGAGTGGGAAGTGTTTGTTTGAAAATATCAATTCTATAAAAATGTTCATTTTAGCAAAACTTTGCCAAGAAGGTGTAGAAATTAGGAAATAAATCTGTAATTTTCAGCACAAAATTAGGAAATAGTCCCTAGGCAGTAAGAAAGAATTCTATGTATTTAAACTGTGACATCATTTAGCATAGTTTAAACTGAGCCTTATCCATGTTTATTTATAGGCATTTAAAATGAATAAATATGTATAGCACTGATGAAAAAAAATCAGTACCTGTAAAGAACATGAGTATTCAAAAGGAAATTGAAAAATTGAAGAACTGGTGAAAATTAAAAAGAACAAACTGCAGTGAGACTGGTTGGAGAGAGATGTGGGGGGAAAGACTACAGAAACACAAAAACACTGGCGAATTAATTCAGACACGGGGAGGGAGGTAACTGGCAAGCTCGGTTAGTGGAGTGACCAGGTAATTTTTTTAAATGTAAGCACAATTACCATACTGAAAAGGACAGCATGCAGAAATGCTTTCCTACTGAGGATTTTTCTCCGTTAAAAGATAAAATCAGAAGAGCAATACATTGTCTTTGGCCTGAGTGCGCAGGAGCATACAGGACCCTCAGATTAATCTAATCAGTTCATGAATCATCAGGTCCCTTTCATCCAACTCTGTTTCAATGAGACGAATTTGGATAACTTTGAGAAACCAAAGTTATTAATTAAGAAAAGGCCTATTCAGAAAGATTATCCTTTAGCCCAAGGAGGAAGTGGTACACTATTGATCTTCAAGAAAATGTAGCCAATGATAGATATCAGCTATAGACATCATTATTAAAACTAGACTAAGAAAAATAAAGCCTTCAGTGTAAAGGATTTATATTAACTGTAGGAAAGAGATTCTTGACAGAGGGAAATTAATTATCAAAATTAATCATCATAATAACTTTTTTAAATACTGGTTGTCTGTCCAGTAACTTAAGTGGCAATATATCTTAATATATTATAATTCTAGGATGTCATAATCCTATGATTCTTTTTATTTCAGATTTTAAAATAAGTTATTCAGTTTAGTCATAAAATATTTTATTCCTTGAAAGTAGGATAGCAATCTTAATTTTTCCAACATATTTGGCAAAAAAAACAAACAAACCTGGATTGTTGGTATTTTTCCTTGCAGCTATATTACATATCTTTAAAGTTGTCCAGAATGTAGTGATTTTACTATAAAAAGCCTCAATTTTCAGAGTCTAAAAAAAGAAAAATACATGTCCTCAGGAATACTTTAGAAATAGGTTTGCAATCCCTTAGGGAGTAAATGCCTCTCAAACTTGATCTTTTCTTAAAGGAATCTCCAATTCACAATATTTGCTTTCCCATGCTTTTGGAAACATTTGTGTGCAGATAGTCCTTCTGTTTCAAACAAGCAGTAAATGTTGGTCAAATAACCCCCTTATTGAACATTTCCTGATATTCTGCATTAAGTAAAATCTTCTACAGCACTCAAGTGGTAATGACAAAATAAGAAAATGAGAAAGTAAAATATATTTTCTACTGTGATAAGAAGGGCAAGTTTGCTGTATAATTGTTACATTCAATCAGACAAAAGACAGTCTATCTCAGAAAGACACATGAAGGGAAGCCGATGGGTTTGCAGTAAGCAGCCCTGCTGGTTGCACCCCAGGGGGCCAAAAGTGCAGTGATACTGTAGCTATAAAGTAGGACCAGGTTCAAAGGAACTCTTAGGATCGACTTCACAATTTTGAGATTGTCCTACAAACTTTTCTGTTGATAAACCAGAGTGGTTTTAAAATAGTCCTTGTATTTAAGATTGCAAATTTACAAGAATATGTTTCTAAGTAAAGGGAACATAATTCTTCAAAAAGCTGTTGAACTGGAGTTGTGACAGGTCATATGATCAGTGCTGATACTGACATAATTTTTACCTTAGAATTAATTTCTGTGGACGTACACGACCAGCCTAGCTCCTGAACGACCTTTTCCATTGTGTGTAAGGATGCCCCCCGATGAGCTGTCTGTAACTGAATTCATCTTTTTTTAAATGCCACTGGTCAACTGCCATTGCCCCTGATGTATTTCATTGGTAGCCTGATTCCCTTATTTAACATCTGAAAGATTTCTTTTAGACATTGCTTCCATTCTTTTTATTAAAAGTATAATTGAAAAATATATTTAGTATTAAAATTATGTTCCTCTAGCAAGGATTTTCCAGAAATCTACTTACAAAAAAAAGAGCAGCAATTAACTGCCTTTAGTGTAAGGGTGCGAGTGCATAAAAGTATGCTGTGTAAAATGTTTGCATGAGATACTTCGCATCATGTAAGCTTTCCCATATTCATGATATAAACAGTGTAGAAATCTTATTTCTTGTGATTTCTCCATTAGGAATGTAAAGAGATTGTTCCCTATATCTGGTCTCCTTTCCATATTGAAATGCATGGCTCTCATCCTCAGTATATTTTTATCCCTTTCCTCTGGAGTTATTTAAAATTTGTCCTGTTTAAACTGAAACCTAGATAAACTACTGAGCCAGATCATTTCTGCATTTGGTGTTTAATTGCTATACAACATTGGTTGAGACCACATTTTTATTTTAACTTCTTTTCTTTCAGAATTATTCTCTGATCATTATGGTTCTCTAATGAAAACACTAAGGAGAAAATCTGATGCATTCCGGTGTGACTGTTTTTTCTTTTTTAAAAGCCTTTTTAAAATAAAGGTTGGAGAACTATAAAGAAAAATGTCATCATTTTGCTAACAAGTCATTATTTGGTGATAGTGGAGGTAGAGAATGAATCATTTTGTTTGGGTTCATGGTATGATTGTGCACCAAAGCATAGAGGAAGTAAATGATTTTTAATATTATTGTCAAAAAATTATTAAACTGGATGGTTTGATGTTAGTCAATTAAACAATTCTTTGAAAATCTTGTCATGACATTTTTATGATCTACTCAGTGTTTTATTTGCATAGTTATACATATGTGAGAAACCATAGGTGATTCTGATATTGTATTTCTTTTCAGGATTAACATTTGTGTAATGTGTGGCAAACTCCAATTTGTATACCATATGATTACTGTAATTTTACTGGTATTTCCACCTTTAATTGCAATTCTGTTACCATGCCTCTGGGTTCAATGGTGTGAAGCATTTCCACATAATGCCAATATTGTATGAAAACAACTGGAAGACTGACCTAAGAAACTCTTTTGTTGCTAATTATTTTTAAAAATCTAAATTTCAAAGGGAAATTGTTCTCAAAGACATATGCATTTATTTTAAATTCAAAAAATTCTCCTGAATTTATTATTGCTTGTCCTTTTTCATTTTTTTTTTATTGTAGACAATCCTAAATGAATGTCTCATGGGAGAATCCATGTATGTGCTTGCATTTCTGTAACCTGATCATGCACTCAGCGGTTGGAAAAGGTCTCCAGTGCTAAGAAAATAACCGAAGCCAATATATTAATTCTTATATCTTGGTTTATGTTACCAACTGGATATGATGTAATGCATAACTGTTCCCAGCAAATAAACTGGTTATCTTTTGTTCATTTCATCTATGTTACCTCCTTATCATTTTGAGCAGTTTTTCTGTATATCACTTTGATTTGTAATGACAAAAAAGGTTTATGATTTTGTACATGATTTATATATTTATTCAAAGTGAGCACATATTTAAACTAAAAACTAAATGCTTTGCATTGACATTTCTACACATTCATCCCTAAGGAATGTGTATCATCTTTGCCCATCTCCATTCACCATCTCTCCTCCTCGTAATCTTTTCTAAAAGGTTATTTTGGTACAAGGCTACCCTTAGGGGAATTAGATTAGGAATGTACCAGCATGAAAGAAATACCTGTTCTAAAGAAGGGAAACATTTTAATGAAAGAAACATGATTTTAGTGAAAGGAGAAAGAAGTTTGTATGCTTTATTTGGGGAGACAAGTCTTCTTTGTTCTCTTTCGTAGGAAGGAACTACAGAGTCCAACAACTCTGAGAAAGGTTAACTTACCAGCTCCTTCTTCAAATATGTGTTGTAGCAAATTGGCTGCTTTGGGAGTCATCTGCTCTGACTTGTTTTGTTTTTTTTAGGGAGAGACAAGGGAGGTGGAAAACCAGGCAGACTTGGACTTCCATGAGGTTATAAAGAATTGAAACTCGAATGCAATCCTCATTATAATCCACCATGGGCACTGTAATAATACCAGCTAAAGTTGCCTGCGTGCCTGTTGTAAAAGCATAAACTTTCCTCAGAATCTCTCCTTTTTCTTTTCTAAAAAATACTGTTTTTCTTGGAGGTTGGACCTATAAGTATATTTGATCCTCGATCTTCTTTTATGCAATAAAGCTGATAGTTTCTTACCTTCAAAAGCTAAAGCAAGTGGACCAGCCTCCAGGAGTGTCAAGAAAATATCATCCCTACATTTTGCAGGAGACTTGGGTTGTACTGTAGTGTTGTGAGAGCAATGTGGAGGCTTTCTGCAGTCCCACTGGGGGTAAGTAAGAGACCAAAATTGACGGAGATCTACAGAAAGGATTTCCTTAGTTTTTGGTTGTACACACATTGACTAGTATATTATAGGAACTCGATGAAGTGGGTTCCTTGCCATGGAGCTTTCGTTATAGAATATCTGGAATTGAGTTTATAGAACCTACTGCACCTGTGATAATATCAGTAAGCACTAAATGCCAACTAAAGGGGGGAAATGGTCTTCAAATTAAGTGAATTAATATTTCTATCATTCTTAATATGTACAATGAAATGATCTGACAGTTGCTCCTTAAACATTTTAAGAATTAATTATGACAAATGCATTAAGAGGAAACTGAGAATAATTTATAATATAACTATCAAGGAAGATAAATCTTGCTGGCAAAAATATTACCAGTGTCAAAAGTAAACACAGTTTATAATATAGTTTAAATGTAGAAAGCAATGCAAAAATAAATCATCTTTCTAGTGACATCCTATTAAATAAAATGTTACAGCTGTCTACATAATTTATGAAGCCCAGTGAAATTTAAATTGTGGATCTCCTTGTTCAAAAATTATTAATTTCAGCCTTGGCTGGGCAGTTCAGTTCGTTAGTGTTGTCCCGATTTGCCAAGGTTGTGGGTTTCAGACTCGAGTCAGGGCACGTAAAAGAATTAACCAAGGAATGCATAAATAAGTGGAACAACAAATTGATGTCTCCTTCTCTTCCTTCTCTCCCTATCTCTCAAATAAATAAATAAATAAATAATTTTTTAAAAAAATTTCAAGATGGCGACAGTAGAGCGTTAAACTTGGCAGGGAGTCCTGAGCAGAAGCCCAGTGTGACTGCAAAGGTGCACATGCCTATGAAGCCAGCCTTATCCCCAGATGATGCTGAAATGACGCTTTAGGACCTCAACACTGAATGTAGCTATCCAGAGTCTGGGTTTTATTTTTAACAGAATGGATTTCCCCATTTCTGTGCTTAGACAAAAAAAATAATGTGTTTATGATCTGGAAAAATGAATGCTATTATTATAAATGAAGTAATGCTACTACTTCAAAGAGTTACTAAAGCTGAACCTTGCAATACTCCCATATTCCAGTGCAGCTATTTCAACTCAGAATTTCTAAACTCTCACATATGTACCAAGTTTGTACAGAGATTATAAAAATCATTAGAAGAAATCTTCAAATTACCAGCAGTAGCCATGCTGTTGTGGCTCAGTGGATTGAGTATTGGCTTGTGAACCGGAAGGTTGCCGGTTTGATACCTGGTCAGGGCACATGTCTGCGTTTCAGTCCAGGTCCCCAGTTGCGGGTGAGTAAGAGGCAACCAAACAATGTTTCTCTCTCTCTTTTTCTCTCTTCCCTTCTCTCCAATAATAAATTTAAAAATCTTTATTGTTTTTAAAAATATTTATTTTTAGAAAAGGGAATGGAGGGAGAAAGAGAGGGAGAGAAACATCAGTGTGTGGTTGCTTCTCAAGTATCCCCTGCCAGGAACCTGGCCCACAACCCAGGCACGTGCCCTGACTGGGAATTGAATCGGCAATCCTTTGCTTTGCAGGCCGGCATTCAATCCACTGAGCCACACCAGCCAGGGCAATAAGTAAAATCTTTGAAAAATGTCAGCAGTAAACATTTTAATTAGTGTATATTAAAGTAAAACTAATTTAAGAACTCTACTGATACCTTCATAACTTGACTTTCTCTAATACTTTAAATTATTAATAATGTCAATCAAATGACACAGGACAATTTACCTCATTTAAAAGAGATACTAGTCCAAGATTAATAAGTGATCCATATCAACATATTTCAAAATAAAGGTGAAAGGAATTATCACATTGAAATCCACTGACACTGAAAACCTGGGCTCTCATGTTATAGGAAGCCACCCTATATGTAAGGAAAGGAGAGAAAAAGAACAGGTATTTTTTCTTCATTTTTGATAAAGTAACTGGAAACCTATAGAAATAGTTATCTGCAAAAGAGCAAAGAATTGGTGGGAGGGATCCAGGATGGGAGGAGTCCTTCCTCAGTAGGTGAGTATCTTTTTATATTTCCTGTTTCATCCAAAAACAGGTTGAATGAATATTTCCTGTATCCAAAAATAGAAATATGGGCTCTCAAGAATTTCACAGTGAAGTCAGAAATAAAAACTAGCATGAATTCTAAAGAAATAATTGTTCTAAAGCAGCCTATGTTAGTGGAAGTGTTTTTAAAAGAATAGAATTTTGGGCAGTTTTAGCCCTGGCACTTAATTGTTCTGAGACTTTGGAAAGGTACTTAACCTGTCCGAACTTCAATGGTCTCATTTTAAAAATAAGGATAAAAATGACTACCTGACAAGGTTGTTGCAAAGATTAAGTGAAGCACCATACATAAGATCTTGCAAACATATGGTCAAAGCTATTCTTTCAGGGTTTGGCCTTTGGTAGCCAATATTATTTCTAAAAACACATTAGCTAGACTATTGGAGTCCTGTATGGATGAAATTAATTCACTCACTTATACATGTATGAATTCACAAATATTTATTGAAAACCTATCTTGCCCTGGCTGTTGTAGCTCAGTAGATTGAGTACCTGCCTGTGGGCAAACAGTCACAGGTTTTGATTCCCAGTCAGGGCACACGCCTGGGCTGCAGGCCAGGTCCCCAGTAGGGGGTGTGTGGGAAGCAACCACACACTGATGTTTCTCTCCCTCTTTCTCCTTCCCTTCCCCTCTAAAAACAAATAAATAAAATCTTAAAAAAAAAAGGAAAATGTATTTTGTGCCAGATATAGCTCTAGGGAATTAAGACACACCAGAGAACAAAACAAAAAAGGTTCATGCCTTTTTGAAGTTTGTATTATATGTAGCAATGAGGGAAAATACAAAAAAAATAGTAAGCATAAATATGTAAATACCACAGTACATTAGACAGTGAAACTTTTATGGAAAAAGAAAAAAGTAGAATAGGAAAAAAAAAGATTGTGCTGGGGTGGGGTGGGGAGGAAGTGAAGCGTTACAAGATTAAATGGAGTGGTCTGGGCCTTATTAGAAAGAAGATGAAAATTATCCTGCTCACGTCATGACTGCTTCCATTTTTTAAATTATTAAATTACATACTTGTTCAAATTTTTAGAAATTATTCATCTAAAAACACCAAACAGCAATTCACATTAAGCAATAGCATTTTCAAAAACTAGCCTTTTAAAATGTTCTAATAATCTGGAGTAACAATTCCAAAATATGCATATATTTTATTTCATGTCAATATTGCTTTAAACTGGTAAGAACAGATACTACACTTGATCTTAACCAGAAGGCCGAGAAGCGATCATGTCAATATTGCTTTAAAAATTCCAGCATTTATTTTATAAATAAATATCATGCTTTCTTGGAGCTTTAGGACATGCCCATTTATACTTCTTTAATAAAATTTTTAGTCAAATAATTTTATTCAATAGTTTTAATTGATAGCTGTGAATTCAAATGAACTTGGAATTATACAAATTTTAAAGTAACTCATAATCTCGTTTTTCAATACAGGGTGCAACAAAAGTAGGTTTACAGTTGTTCATATGGAAAATAATACTTTTGCTCCACCCTCTACATAGTTAGACGCTAAGCTATATTTTCTTCTGGTCCTCAATTCCAGCTCTCCTTCCTTTAAATGTACGTTCACAAACTTTCTTCATAATACAAAGGTGAGAAACATCACGCTGCTAAGCTTTACATCAGCTTGCTGCTGAGCATAACCATTTTTCTTAAAATGTGTATAGATTCAGACTTCAAGTTTTGCCATTTCAGTAGAATTGACAGAAAGTCATATATTTAAAACTCCATGTTTTTTTTTAGTCTCATGAATAGTTGTCCTAATCCTGGGTAACTGAGTCTATTAGAAAATAAAGGTCATGTTACTAAATATATGTAATGTGGAAAGAGCTTCATCAAATTACCTGCCTAGGTAAGTATGCACACTTAATATCAAACAAAGATGAAAATAAAATTGAACCAATGAAAATATTACCTATTGAAAGTCTAATTATCTCCTTTGAGGATTTCTTTGAATGCCACTTCTTTCCAGC